ACGCGCACTATTCTTCTTCACTGCAAGCGCGGGGAAGTGTTAGCTAAGCGCAACGGTGAAAATCTCGAGCCGTGGGGTTCGGGCTTGAGTAGGAAATGATGGTCACGTGGAGGGGGGCGCACACTCGCAAGCGCTTCATCTGACTAACACAAGATAGTTCGTAAGCCTGCGCGCGCCATCCCGCAAGCAGCATCGCGCGCGCATCCGCAGCATCGCCTGCGTCGCCAGCGCCGCCAGCCCTTGGAAAAAACCCGCGCGCGCCAGGTCGCAGCGCGCGAGTTTTTTTTCCCGCCTCCTAGCTCCATTTGTAGGGAGAGGATCGTGCGCGCATCAGCAACATCGCCAGCATCGCCTTCAGAAAAACCTGCGTGCAGAAGGTCGTAGCGCCTAAGTTTGTCTGTCCCGCCTCCAGCTCGAACTGTCGTGGGATGAAGCCCTTTTCCCGGCTACACATTTGCCTTTGTTGCGCTATGCATGTGTTGTGCCTGTGTTACGCCAGGGAAATAATGCTAGCGTTGTGCTACGCTCCAGGAGCTCCGCGTGGCGGATGACGGTGTGGTGGTGCCGATGGACCTGCGCTTGCCCGCACAGACCGAAAAGGAGAAGTACGCCTGCTACGCGCTTGGGCTGTCTTTTCCATTTCCTCGGTGCCAAAGCGCATCGGAGTGCGCAGAGTCGTGGAGGTGCTTCGAATGTCACAGTCTAGAGCCACGAGAGTCGGAGGGCTTTCTGCGATGTCGCTTCTCCCCAATGTGGAGGCATTGGAAGGCTTGCATGCAGCTGCGCAAAGCTTGCGCGCGGGAGAGGCTACTGGCTGGCGCCTCTGTCCCCTATGTGCGGGACCTGGTGGGTATCCGAGAGTGGTTTCCAGCGGCCTTGAGAGACGAGCTCTGCGTCGACGGCGCGCGTGCATCTTCAGAGGACGCAGTCTTGCGAAATCTGGAGTCCGCAGGCGCGTCGTCGTCTGCGGAAGCTCGTGAGTTCGGGCACGCTGTCGGTGCTACTCCGCTGCAAGGTGCCGGCGGCGCCTGCTTTCTGATGTGGTGCTGGGGCAGGCTCATGCCAGGACGCCGCAGTGCTTTCTACGATTTGCCTCGTATTCACAAGCGCATCTGCTGGTTCGTGGACGTCTCCCCTGGCTTTCACTACAGCCAGCTCACTCCACTGGAGCACATGTGTTATGTGCAGGACACATGGCTGGAGCGCGTTCGCCTGCACAACTCTGCGAGGCAAATCAGCAGCAGCCAGCGCAGGGCGGAGCGCTTTGCCTACGTTGCCAAGGCGGAGGAGGATGAAGCCGAGGCGCATTCGGTCTTGCTTTTTTTGGCAGACATATGTAGAAATGACTGTTTACATATTTTCAAGGAAGTACGCAGTCGCCGCCGAGATGTGTCTGTTGTGTTTGGTTGCTGCTTATATACACCGTTCTGGCAGGACGACGCGGGGGCAGTGGATATCGAAGGTGCTGATTTGGGTGATGACCTGGAGCACGAAGACGCCATCGACAGAATGGAGTGCGCTGAACACGCCGTATCCATGCAGTCGTTGTCTGAGGTTTTATTCCAAGACGACGAGTGGAAGAGCGCGATGGCTGGTCGGGAGAACAGGACCAAAGAAGCTCTCTACTGCCTGAAGCGCGTGGTTGAAGGGCTCGGCGGCTTGCCGGACGTGCTCTCAGCGGCGCAGGTGCGCGCCGAGAGTGGACGCGTGGCATGGCGGAAGCTGTCTTTGACCAACAGCGTCGCTACCTGGAAAGGCTGACTAGAGGCTCGCGAAGCTTGTCTAAAAGCAGCATGATACGTTTTTTTGAGCTTTTGAGCTTTGATTTCGCGGGTGGGCCTTGGAAAGCCAATGCCTTTTGCGGCTCTCTTGTATTTGTTTGTGCGTGGGCTGCTGCCAGGCGGAGAGGATGAGGGCGAGGAAGGCGGGGACTGCAAGACTTGGGCTTACACTCAGGTCCTGCGACCTCTCTTTTGCCATTTCTTTGGCGAAGAGGGATTCGTCGCTGGGGCCCCCACGCACGCCGCCGTGTGGCTGCTTGGCCCAGAGGCAAGGACCTTGCACAAGTTGGCCAACGTGAGCCCGAACGCTGGCCTGGACCGTCGGTCTCTGCGTGCGCAGAAGGGCAAGAACGACGCCCTGGAGAAGCGCATCGTCAGACGAGTTGTCCATGACGCCGCCGGATGGCGACGCCCTGGTGCTGGACAACTGGGCGACTTCCTGCAGCTCCGGCCCGCGGCGCAGAAGAGTCTCTGCGAGTGGCAGGAGGCTGTCTCTGCGGTAGAGACAGCCCTGCCAGACGACGCAGAAGATGCCCCCGGCGCTGAAGTCAGCAACGCCTCAGAGCTGGGCCGCCTCCTGTTCAAGAACTCAGCGCGCACAGTTGTGCACTTCACGGGAACCGGGCGATTTTCTTCTTGCGAGTCCGGGCAAGCTCTGGTGCGCATCTTGACGCACATGCGGCAAGGCACTACCATGCCCGATGACCTGTGGGCGCTGCTGCGGGCTCTGCAATCGGAAAGCTTGTCGTCAGACATCGCCAAGGAGCAGTTTCTGACGGCTTACTGGGGAGGCTTTTCATGGGAGCAAGTCGCTCGCCTGCAGCACGTGCGGGCCGCCATGGAAGCTCGTGCTGCAGGCCAGCAGCTCTACATTGCGCAGGCCATCGACAAGCCCACTGGCGGCCGCAGCCTTTCGGCCGAGCAGGCAAGCCGCGCTGAAAGTGGTGAACATGACAAAGACCGGGTATCTCATAGGCATGTGCCCGCTGTTTGTTGGCATGAAGGCGCGCATCTCGTGCATCTTGCCCGAGCCGATGTTGACCAGGGAGCTGCCTTGCATAATCCGGCGCATTGAGCTGCGCCCCAAAGAGCCTCCGGTGGATAGTCGCTCGGAGTGCGTGGTGCTGCGCTACCAGCCGCTCGGTGTGCTTGTGGAGGTGGACGACCGCGAGTACTCGCAGCTGCAGCTGCCCGCGGCGGCCGAGACTCCCAAAGGTCATTTCTTTGTGGCGCCTGTGAGCGACAGCAATGCCTTTGCTGTTCAGGTCGGCAAGCAGCCGAAGTTCAACGTTGTGCGCAAGCAGGCTAGGGGGGGGGGCAAATCCGAGTGGGCTCTCAGGGTGGAAAGCACCATGGAATGCGAAGTGTGAATTGAGGCGCTTTCGTCTGCCTGAGGTGCCGCTGGCGCCAAGGGAGGTGCTCACGCACTTCGGGCTTCAGGGCGTGACTGCCCGCCGTGGACTGGTCGCGTTCTTGACGCAGCCGTCATGGATGAAGGAGGCCGACTATGGGCTGGCTCTGTACGTCATGCTGTCGCGCGCCACCAAGCTGAGCGACCTGATGATCATTGGGCTGCCTGACCGACAGTACTTCGAAGGCTTCTTGCACCAGCACAACGGCACACTGGTCGAGCGGATGAAGAAGTTCGAGGAGATGTCAGCTCGGAGCACGAAAGCAGCCGAAGGCTACGTTCGCAGCTTAGGCTGGCTTCAGAGCGAATATATCCGCTCTGTAGTTGGTGACTTACGCGAGGCGCCCTCGGCCTCGTCGCGGCCAAAGCGCCGACGAGTGCTTAGGAAAAGCAGCCCTGGCTAGGTCACACTTTTTCTGCCTGCACGCTTGCGAGCGTGAACGCTTCGGCCCGGTCTTGGGAAGAGCGTGTCCGTCTCAAGTGTGCATGCAGAAATTGCGAACAGCTAGCTCCAAAAGGCAGATGAGCTGCCTTGCTCTAGGAAAGCAAAGCCGCTTGGCATCCTGGGGACACGCAAGGAGCCAAGGACGGCAGTCTAATGTAGCAGGTGTTTTGGGGGAGTTGTTGGGGTACCCTGCGCCCTGCAGTGGAGGGGTCGCACCGCTTTGTTGTAAGCTCATGGGTTCTTGCCTTTTCACGTTACCCCCATGGACCTCGACTTGGACCGGCTCCTTGAAACCCCCACAGACCCGGACGATGCCTCGAAGGCAAAGACCTTGCAAGCTGATGATGGCCCCAGCGGTTTTTCCATCGCTCTCTGACGTGGACTAGTGCGATCTGTCTGTTTTCCCTGCGATCGCACGTGATCATTTGCTTTCTTGCCATTTTCGATGCGGCTGTTTGGAACTGCATGGTCCACGCATCGGCAATGACACTCTCTGTCGTGACGCGAGACGCGCCTAGCGGTAGAAAAGAAGAGCTCGCTGGAGCCCCCGATTCCCTCAGCTTTTCCCTCAGCTTGGCTGACAGCAGCGGGTCAAAATCTTGATTTGTCAGGTTCAAACTTGAGTAGGGGAGCTGTTCGGGTGCAGTGCGACCTGCACGCTGCAGTGGAGGGATCGCACGGCTTTGTTGCCCCTCCATGTTGCCCCCGTGGACCTTGCCTTGGAAAGTCAGAGACCCTGCAAGCTGATGATGACCCTGCGAGCGCAATCTGATTAGCACAAGATAGCTCGTAAGCCTGCTCCGCAACATCGCCTGCGTCGCCAGCACCGCCAGCCTTCGGAAAAACCCGCGCGCGCCAGGTCGCAGCGCGCAGGTTTTTTTTTGCGGTCTCTAGCTGCCACAGCATCGTCAACATCACCAGCATCACCAGCTTTTTGGAAACCCCCCCGCGCGCGCCAGGCAGTAGCGCGCCAAGTTGCGCAGAGCCAAGTTACATAGAGCCAAGTCGCACAGAGCCAAGTTGCGCCGAGCCAAGTGGCACAGAGCCAAGCCAAGCTGCACAGAGCCGAGTGGCGCAGAGCCGAGTGGCACAGAGCCAAGTGGCACCAAGCCAAGTTACACAGAGCCAAGTTGCACAGAGCCAAGTTACATAGAGTCAAGTTACGTAGAGCCAAGTCACACGAGCCTGCTTTGCAGAAGCTGCTGCATCGATGTAAAAGGGCGTCTCCGCGGCTGGAAAAGCACATGATGGGAAACGCTTGGGGGAAAATGCTTTCGGGCCAATCGTCCTCTAGTGTCATATTTATCGACCGACATGACTTGCAACTATCGTGCTTGAGCTTGGTTCAGTCAAGCTTCGGCAGGTTTTTGCCTGGAACGAGTGGGAGGGACACACGAATTGCATCTCAGAGGCTCAGAAGTATCAGGCAGGCCTGCCGGTGGATGCTTCAAGGTGCTACCTCCATGGAAATTGGTGCACTTGTGCAACATTCTGATCCAGATTTCTAGCAAAGCAAACATTTCTTCATGTCGGAAATGCTGATATCCAATTGTGCGGTGAGACTGTCAGGGCCAAATCATTAACATTTACATGGTTTTGCATTGCCTGAATTTTGGGCAAGGCACAACATTGTCAATGCAGTGTCATTTCGTTATTTGGTCAAATCAGCCTTCATCGACCATTCCTGCCGTCGTGACAGAGCAGAACAGTACAAAGAGTGCACTTCATGATGCAATGATTCATATCATGTGGCAGCGTGGTCCTGCTAGGGCAGTCTATATCAGCCCAAGGAGTTCCAGGCTTATTTCCAGGCTTATTTCGGCTGAGTCAGTGGCTTTGCCCTCGATCTCCAAACCAAGGAGCACCAACAAGGGACAGGTGAAGCAGGATGCCTGGGTCCGCTCCTGAGCGTTGCAGCGTGATCTTGCATGTGTGGGTGCGTGTTTGTGTGTGGCGTGGTGATTGGTAGGGCGTGCGTGCGTGCGTGCGTGCGTGCGTGCGTGCGTGCGTGCGTGTGTGTGTGTGTGTGTGTGTGGGTGTGCGTGCGTCTGTGCGTGTGTGTGGGTGGGTGGGTGGGTGGGGGTGCACGCGCGCACGTGCGTGTGTGTGCGCGTGCGTGCGTGCGCGTGCGCGTGCGCGTGCGCGTGCGCGCGCGCGCGTGCGTGCGTGCGTGCGTGCGTGCGTGGGTGCCTGCGTGCCTGCGTGCCTGCGTGCGTGCGTGCGTGCGTGAGGTGCCGTGCCGTGCCGTGCCGTGCCGTGCGGTGCAGTGCGGTGCGGTGCGGTGCGGTGCGGTGCGGTGCGGTGCGGTGCGGTGCCGTGCCGTGCCGTGCCGTGCCGTGCCGTGCCGTGCGGTGCCGTGCGGTGCCGTGCGGTGCCGTGCGGTGCCGCGCCGTGCGGTGGTGCGGTGCCGTGCGGTGCCGTGCGGTGCCGTGCGGTGCCGTGCGGTGCCGTGCGGTGCCGTGCGGTGCCGTGCGGTGCCGTGCGGTGCCGTGCGGTGCCGTGCCGTGCCGTGCCGTGCCGTGCCGTGCCGTGCCGTGCCGTGCCGTGCCGTGCCGTGCCGTGCCGTGC